CTCTACTAAAACTAGGAAAACTTCCTGGAGAAAGGAGAACAATAATATTAGTTGTATAGTGCCTTAGAGATTACAAAGTGTACTCCACATTCATTATTTAGGATTTCAGAAGCTCTCAGAAGCAAAAATTTTCAGGAAATGAAAATTGAAAACAACATTTAAATTTGTGAAAAGGTACTATTAAACTGTGAGTTGGAAAATTAGATGTAGAAACTACGAAAGGTTGACCAAGCAAAGCTAAAGCAAAGGCAAAAAAGAAACAGATATGATTTAAAAAAAAAAAAAAAAGTGTGAGTCCAGTGCAAGGCTTTAAATCAGGTGGTAAAGTTGATTTAACAAACAGTATTAAACCAAGGCACTTAGACTACCAAAGATAAAGAGAACACAGTTAAAATAATGAAGTATGTCATTAAAATAAATATTAAGAATGGACTTCATGGGAAAATGCACTGAAGGTAAAAAATGAATAGAATCTTTATGTATGTGCTTACACATTTCTTCACTGGCAACCCCCATTTTTCCAGTGCCTTTAACATGCTTTTAACCTAGTAGGCATCCAGAAATATTTGCTGAAGTTCTACTCTGTGTCAGACAGAATGCTAGACATTTTGGGATATGCAACAATTAGATATGGTCCCTTCCCATTAATAATTTACATTCTGTTAAAAAGTAAAACAAGACAGAAGGGGCCAAAAGAAAGAAAGCTGCAAGAAGGCGAGGGTGGGATGTTTCGAAAGAACAGCATCAAAACATGTGTATTATCTAGGGTGAAACAGATCACCAGCCCGGGTTGGATGCATGAGACAAGTGCTTGGGCCTGGTGCACTGGGAAGACCCAGAGGGATCTGGTGGAGAGGGAGGTGGGAGGGGGGATCGGGATGGGGAATACATGTAAATCCATGGCTAATTCATTTCAATGTATAACAAAAACTACTGTAATGATGTAAAGTAATTAGCCTCCAACTAATAAAAATAAATGGAAAAATAAAAAAAAAAAGAAAGAAAGAAAGCTGCAAAACCATCCAAAGAAAGAAAAGATAACTATGAAATGACCTGTTCAGGAAAGGCTTGTGGAAATAAGGGGCATTTGCAGAATTGGGTAGAGTGGGTAGTAAGATTTTAACAAAGCCAAGAAAAAGGCATTTAAAGCACAAACAGAATGGCTGAACACAAGGGGTTGAGATAAAGGTGTTTTAAGGAAACAGTGAAAATCAAGCAAGGCTGCAATACAAGGTATACGAAAGCATAAGAGTACAAAAGATAAGCTGAGATTTTAAAAAGGTTTTGAATGGTAAATTGAGGAGTTTGAACATTTCCTGTAAGCAATCCAAAAATAATCAAAAGATTTCCAGCAAAAGAGTGACATGATGAAGGTGATATTTTAAAAATATTAAACTGGCTTTTGAGGTGCACAACAAATGGTATATATCTTGATTAAAGATATGATTATGGCAGTAGAGAGACAGGCATACAAATAAAGCACACTGAATATATAACAAACAGGAGCAGACAGTAGCCAAATAAATTTAAGAACAAAAGATTAACCTATGATTTCTTTGTTAGGAGCAAGAATAGCATAACATCACATAGAGCCAAGAGGAAGTTAGACAAAGAGTAAGACCCTAAAGTATGAAGAATAATCCTATTTCCTATTTTCATTTCTTCCATCATGTTTGTATGAAATTCAAGTTGCCTAAGTTAAAGTAGAATAGGTAACTGTATTAAAGGACTAACTAGAGAAGTTCCCAAAGTGATAGATAAACAGCGACTTTAGAAAGAGGAAATGCAGCTGCCTTAAAATGCTTTAAAAGTATTCAGAAAATACAAGCCACATGACTTGCTAATTGCTCAGTTAGTTCAGGGAAAAACAACAAAAACAAAAAATCACATCAAGGTAGCAATATGAATGCATTAACCAGAGAAGTGTACCTCACCCAAGCTGGGTATCAGTTCATTTAAATGTTAGTATATAACAAAACTAAATATTAGTCTCTTCTCTCATTACCACACACAAAAAAATAGGCACGCTTATGTTCTCCACCTCTAATTCTTAAAAAGAATTCTCCCTACATTTTCTTAATCCTCTCAAACAATTCCCTAATTCTATCTCCTTTCTTCTGTATAAACTTTGGTCTACTGCATTTTATTTACTTCTTAATTCCACTTTAAAATGTTAAATATAAATCTTCTGAAGCTGCTTTTAATACAAGTAGGAATATTTAGTCTTCATATTTAGCCTTTGCAGTTGACAAAATATTTTATACACATTACCTCTCAGAACCCTCACAGAAGCAATGTGCAGCAGGTATTATCATCATCCATATATTATACAGAAGCAGCAAGCCCAAGGCCACATATTCATAAGTGATAGAGTCAGGCGTGAAATACAGGTTTTCTGAATCCAAATTCCATATTCTCCTCCCTATGTCACTCAGTTTCATCATGTGCCAGTAGCTATATCTAATTATTCAAAATGTATGTCATTATTCTATACTGTGTTTAAGCCAATACATCTCTTTTTTTAAAAAATTAGGTACTTATGCCCAAATGGCCCTATTATACGGCCATTTATTGAGAAAACCTAATTATTTTAAAAAGCTCATTATGATGATAGTTATCACTGGATGAAAAGTGATGACTGAAGTATAATATTTGCAAAATTGCTGAGCCTATACCAAAACCATTTTTGCCTTTAATTCTGCAACACAACATGTAACAACAAAGACAATATGGGTGATTTAAGGATATATGAGCATCAAAGGACAGAAACAGGGCATTCCTACTCTCTTTAGCTGCGCAAAGGCCTCAAATACTGGTATAGTTCAGAGCATCTTATTACCAGGGAGACATAAATCAAAAGGAGTTCAGCTAGGAGCAATAAAACAGATTAGTGTCTGAAAGAACTGACTTTAAAGAAAGTTTTAAAAGAATTAAATCCAGGTAGTCTAGATTAAAAAAACAGCTAAGAGGAAACCTTTTTTTGAAGCTGACACTCACAACAAAGAAATTATTTTGAAGATAAATGTCTGAAACAATGCAAAAAGGAACATTCACATATTTGGAGAATATAAAGGGAAAATTCAGGAGACATTTACTGACAAAAACCTATGGGACAAAAGAACTTTCTCCCACAAGAGTGGTGAAAACTACATTCCTAGAGATATTTAATACCATGTTGGACAAGACAAGAAAAGGATTCCATATGGAATGATCCTGTACTGGCCCCTGAAATGGTGGGAGGAATGAAGATGACCTCTTAGATCTTTTCCATTTCTGATTTTTTCCTAATTCTATGGAGTTTTATGGGGCACGGCCTTCTACCAATTTCCTTTCTCCCCATGATGCCCACTTTCTCCTTTCACAAACGGAAACAAATTGTAACCTTCATTTTAAGCAGATCTCCCATTCTCAGTGAATAGGTAATATAATCTTATGTACAAATTTTGGAGAAAAAGGCTAATTCCTAAACTTATAATAGTCCTCCGCCACAGTGGTTCCTGGGACTCTTACAAATTTTTTCACAAACTAAAGAAGTAGTAGTTCAAATGGACTCAAGGAAGAGCAGTTTCATCAGGAAAACCATTAATATCCTCCCTTCTTGTACCTGAACACAAAGCTGACAGTGACCCTGGGAGCTAAAAAGCACTGGGTCAAATTACCATCAGAGCTGCTGCTCAGGATTATCTTTTAGCTTTCAGCATTTTATGCTGAGTGACAGCAAAGTCTACCTGCAATCCACATTTTCATAGCAATGACATTTACCTTTGAAAAGATGTAGCCTTAAACATCTACACACTTGGCAAATGTTGTAAAAGAGTAAGTCTGATTCAGGATTCAAACTCAAGAAACCTCAACCTTGCCCTCTTTCTCATCTGACACTTAGAAAAAAAAATGTTTCTCAGCCAACCTTGAAACAGATCCCAACTCTCCAAAATTCCTGTTCAGTGAAAGCCCCAGAAAATACAACAGGCTTTTCCTCGTTTTGCTGATTTATAAGGACAAGATGTAACAAAATCCAGGGAGCTCTGAGAACATGTCCCTAAGCCCTTTAAAAATAAAACTGCAGCTCAGTTATGAAAAGGGACAGCAGGGCAGAGATAGCCCTCCAGGAATGGACACTAATGCCTCTTCTATGCAATCTAAACAACCTTAGTGGCTGAAGACCCAACAATTGCCATCTTGCCTATTTTACCCACACAGAAAGTTCATTGATATTAAAACCAAACCCTCTAAACAATTTTTTAAAAATACCATTTTCACTTTTCCCTAGTAAAAATGAGACTGTTCGTATATAAAAAAAACGACTGGCCTCTCATTAGAATAGGATTCAGAGTTTTCAAAGGCCTTCCAACACTCAACTCTGATCCTGGCAGGAAAAGCTGGCAGTTACAATTCCATTTTGAAACTTAGGGGGTGGAAAAGTGTGACTCTGAGATTAGGCACTCTAAAGGAGAACTCACTGCGAAGATTTTCAAACCTTTCCAACAAGGGACCAATCTAAAAGCGACTATTCCAGAAAATTTTAGTGGATTTCAAAAACGGCTGAAGACTTCGGTAGCCTCATCTCAGGAAAGCAAGGAATAAGAAAAACAAAAGGCAACTTTTCCTATAATTTCAGAAAGGAAACGTGACCCTGACCCTTTAACAGCCTACCAACCTGAAAGAATTTTCTCAAGAAATTCCTTGAACCTTCTCCCCACAGGACTAGTCAGCCAGAAGTTTTGGCTACTATTTCTGGGCCTCTGTCTGAGACTCAGCCGCCGGAGAAAAGCCAGGAGCCTGGACAAGGAGACCCTGAGGAGCCCCCTCTTCCTAATCACTTCAGAACTCCCACACTCCTGTGTCCCCTCGCCTACAGCCGCCAGTTTTTCAGGTGAGCTCCAACCTGGTCCTCCTCCAAATCTGCACGCCCCCTCACATACACACACACGTACACAATTTGCTCCCCCGCATTCCCCAAACTTTACCCACCCAACAAAAGTGGGAACCAAGTTTCTCACCATCCTCATAGTTTTTGAGATAGTAATCCGGGCCGGGACCCCCACGGCTTTTTGCCGGGTTCCTCAGGTTCTGGAACTGCAGGAAGTCGGTCCTTTTGCCCCCGAAGCGCAGAAAGGCGGGCGAAAGTCCCCGGGCCAGGGTCACCAGACGCTTGGAGCTGCAGGGGTAGAGAAGGAGAAAGGAAAGGATACGGGGGACAAGCGAGAGGCCGCAGGGCACCAGCAAATCCCTCTTTCCATTCTCTGTGGAGTTTCGCCTGGCACCCTACCCCGCCCAGCTTTGGGCCGAGGTACCCGGCGCTGCGCCTCCTGCGCCCAGCTGGTCGCGGCCCCCTCCCTCAGGCACCCCGACGGTGCTCACCGAAGGCAGTATTTACAAAGAGTTAGACTGTTTGTTAACAGTGTGTGCATAGGTGGCGGTACGCTTCTGCTGAGAATACGGGACTAAGGCGCAGTTGCTGGGCTTCTACCCCTGCCGGGAAAGCGCACCGAAAGGAGTCGCGCAGCGCAGGGACCTCGGGCTCCGACTTTTGCCAAACCTCGGCTGAAAGAGGGAGTCTGCCTCCTCTGCCCCAGGGGCAACCGCAACCTCTATGCAGAAGATGAAACCCTCCTTCTTTCTCTCAGACCAGGCACCTGACATCAAGTTTGATTCTTTTTTTTTTTCCAACGCCAAAGGTGATTTTCCTTTTCCACTACCTTATAAGAACTGCATGCATCTCCCAAATCCTTGTCTTTCTGAGAACACTTCCTACACCCGCCTTGCACAGTAAAAGCAATGTCTCTGGCTGATAATTCAGCCAGATCTCAGGAAAGGTAACGACATTCTCTCCACCCGCCAGTTGGGCTCCATCTTTTTCCCTTCCCACTTGGGCTCATTTGGAAGCTCTGAGGAAAGTGAAGTTTGCTGAAATGTGGAACGTGCGCGTCGCAGCAGACTCTGAAGAGCATCAGAACAATGGTATTTACAGCTATTTAGGTTCAGGATTTCCATAAATAGGTTTTTTTTTAAAGCCAAGCACTGCTAATTAGGAAAGGCGCAGAGAACTAGCAATACTGATGCGCTTAATGCTAAGGGCATCAGCTATTGAGTTTCGGATTTCTAAGTTATTTTTAACGCTTTTCTGGTTCAGGTTCTGAAAATCCAAATCCAAATGGTACTAAAGAGTATCTTGAAGACAGCGGATAGGAATGGGGGGGGGGGGGTGGACAACGGAGACTCCGGTTTCAGAGTTTCTGACAAAAGCTGTGGCCGCCCAGAGAAGTCCCAGTAGGGAGAAGGATCCCCTGGCCGTGGACTCCAGGACTGCGTTACCAGGCGGGCGCAATCGGGCGTCGTGTGGGCCCACGGCTGGCAGAGGAGACCGCCGCGCGAGTCCGCCCCGCGGAACCGGCGTTTTCAGCAACCGTCCAGCCGGAAGCCTGCACAGCCAATGCAAATACGCCCCGCCACGGCTCCTTTCCCGAAAAGCCGCCTTCCACAATCTTTTCTGCGACAAGCATTTAGCGAGAACAGTAAAGGTTTTGTTGTTGTTTTTAAGATAAGAAGCAAAAGAACTCCAAAGGAGTCCACACAGCCGGAGAACCGCGATGCAAGTAGGGAGTGTAGTCGCTGGCCCCCCCGCTGGGCTCCCCCCTCCCTTCCCGGACGAGCTCAAAGACGCGCGCTGCTGCAAGGAAGAGCTTCCGAAGAGGAATCCGGGCCGCGCAGAGCTGTTCCCGCCCTCCCAGCGGAGGCGCGGGCAGGAATCCGAAACGGCCTCGGCAGCCGCGGCAGCAAGCACTCAGCCTTCCCGCAACGCTCGCTCCACGTGGAAGAAACGCCCCAAACTGCGCTTCCCGCTACCTGCAGCGTCCGCCCGCCCGGCCGAGGTCAGAGGAGACCCGGAGAACTGAGGGGCGGGCGCACACGAGAAGCAAACTCGAATTTCGGGGAGAGGGAAAGATACTCACGAAAGACGCACGGCGGACGCGGCCTCAGGGCAGAGAAGTGAGACTGAGAGCGCTCAGAGCTCTTCGAGGGAGCCCACAGCTGAGCTCCAATTTGGAAGGAATTTTTTAAAACTCAACACTTGTATTCGACATTGTAGACAATTTTTTTTTATTTATTTTTACAATGCAACTCTCTCCCTGTTGTGAAGGGATCGTGGTTGCCTAACTGCTGAACAGTAATAACCGGGAGAGGGTGCGCCCCAATTAAGAGTCCAAGCCCTAGAGTAATGTAGAATCCACGATTATAAATCTCCCGGCTTCCTAATCCACCGGTGCGAGATTCAGACCTCCGAAACATCCCTAGAGTATTTCTAGGACCCTTTCCGCTCTCCTTATATACGCTATGACCGCAGCGAGGGTTTTTTCTTTCTTTTTTCTTTCTTTTCTTTCTTCCTTTCTTTCTTTCAAGAAAAACTAAGCTATACAGTTACCGCAGATTTAAGGAGGAGGGACTGTGGGACCATTCGGTCTATTAAAAGTATCTTTCAAACTTCTTAAGTTTGGAGAGGATAGCAAAGGATATAAAATTAAAAATCCGAACCAATTTGCCCACCGCTGAAGCCTCTGCCTAGATTGATTCTCTGTCTGGGAGTGGGAGAGAACTGACGAAACGATCTTTCCGTGGAAAATTCCACTTTCGTGCGAATCCCTTTTAAACATTCACAGACACACGCAGACACGCACTCTCTCTCACACACCCATTCCTCTCGGATCTTTTCTTCGCTTTTGTAACTACCCTGAACTTCTTGTTTCTCTTCAGAAGGAGTCCGGGAGGCTAATTGTGGATATATGTAAGCACAACATTTTTTCAGTCATAACTGATAAGTTTCTGAAATGCCTTCTGCATTGCAAACATGTGCATCTTAATAGAAAACATTGCTTTTCTCAATCACCAGTTACAGCCTCACAGCAAATATTCCTGGAGGAGGAAAACCTTTCTTCTCTTTGAGAGATCCGCCTGGTGCATTTTCTTCTTCTTCTTCCCCCTTTGGAATGGGGGGATAGAAAGGGGTGGGGGTTGCTACTTAAAAAAAAATGATCCATTGAAGCCCCTGCCTTACCTTAAGAAATCGAGCCAGCCATCATGAATGATGGACGGATCCAGCTGCAGAGAGAGGAAGTTCTCATTGACTGTCCTGACTGGGTTCTTGGTGCTCACATCAAGTAGAATCAGGGTCTTTTCCTTCATACCTGGAGCTCTGTCTACAGGCAAGGGTCTCCTGTCTCCAGCTTGGGAGGAAAGAGAGCGATGGAGCAACAGAGCCAAGAAGAGAGCCACCGGGGCTAGGCACGCGGGGGGGCGGGAGTTGCTGGAGGGCATGGCTTCAGGGAAGGCACAGAGCACCCTCATTAAATCCCTCTGATTTAAACCTCTCTTCCTACAGGGTCTCGCTGGTGACTAATTGTCCTTATCTAAAGTGTGTGTCAGTCTGCCTTCCCCCCCCCCCGCTTTTTTTTCCCTTCCTTTCCCCCCCTCTCTTGAGCTCTCTCTCCCTTTTTTCTTTTTTTTTTTTTTTTCTTCAGTGTTTTGGTGCTGGTGGAGCGAACTCACGCCCCTAGCCAGCCTTCTCAGAGACTCGTGCCAAGAGTACTCGTTCACCAGCACCGCCCCTTTAAGAGATTTCGACTGCAGACATTTTTAAACTTTTTAAAGGTAAGGGGGTGGGGGGGGGGGGGGGGCGGGAAGTAGGAGGAAGGGGTGGTGTTGTACCCTCCGGGTTTAACCCTCTAGGCTCGGGAATCGGAGGGAGGGATCAAAACTATACCGTTGTAACATTTGGGGTACTGGCGGGACGTCTTATTTTTACTTCCCTCCCAGTAAGGCTCTGGGGAGGGCGATTCTAGCTGCGACCCCGACGCGAAAGCCCCTGCGCCATGGAGTCGAGGCTGCACCAGTCGCTCGCCTGTTTGCCCTGACAGCGTCAGGCATTTCGACTACTCCAGGCCCTTCTCTTTGGGGTAAAGAAGTGAGAGCAAGGCTGGTTAAGTTGCAGAGGGGTCCTGCAGTGGCGACTGTGATTCCTGCCAAAGCGCAGAGAGCAAAAGGAGATTCCATGGATGCAAATATGGACCTCTGCGACGCGCTGGGCAGACACACACAAGCCGCCTCTGACCTCGATGGGGCAAAGAAAGACCGGCCAGAAGGAACACACAGAGTGACGAGATCAAAAGGTCTATCTGCCCGTATGGGTAAAAGGCTGTCCATGTTTCCCATCTGCCTGCAGCTGAGGCCAAAATGTCTTGGGGGATTCACTATATATCCTGACTTAGGCCAAGTCAAAGCAACCCTGTGTGCTTGCCTAGTCTGGGAGGCGTTGCCCCGATCTGAGCCACTGGTTGACTACTCCACTGCAGCAGCAGAGCCACCCCCTCAGCCCCACCTCTATATCAACCTTGGGCTCATCCCTCCCACCGGGAATTACACCTTTCTGGTGCCAGAACAGAACAGTAACACAATTAGGTTTCCAAACTCAGTCGGGAGCCAAAGCCAGAATCTTCCCACACTTAGTTCCTGGATGCTCCAGAACAGCCAAGAACTGCGGGGTGCACCACCCACCCTGGTTCATAGATCCCCAACCCACAGCACCTCCCAGGGTGCTAGGATTGAGCTCTAGGTCCCCAGTTAAAGTGAGAGAGAGGCCAGACCTGGTTTGCTGCAGTCACACTGTCAGGTTCCACCTTTCGGCTTCTTTCTGGAATAAAATGGGGCTTCTACTTGGCAGATGAAGAGAACTACTTTATGTGGTGTGGGGACTGCATGAGCCTCCCAGGGCCTACTGATATCAAACATGCAAAACTCTTAAAATGCAGAGCCAAGGTTTTCCCCAAGGGTTCATGAGCCAAGAGCAGCATCACAGCCACTAAAAAATGGTAAAATGGCAACCTACCTCTCTGTCCTTCCCCTCAACTGAAGTTCCCTGAAGAGCTTCTACCAAACTAATCAACCAGGAAATAGAGCTTAGGTGGGTTAGACTGGGAACTGCCATAAAGACCTTTTAGGAGGTCTGCATAAAATGAGACCAAAGCAGGGGGAAAAAAAAAAAAAGCATATTATTTAAAGATGATATTTAAAACCAAGATGTTAATATACTGAAGCATTAGAAGTGATCTCTGGCCCTAAAACCTGCTTCCCACAGTTCCTAAAAATGTCTAACACATCTAGATCCTTGAAAATATGTGTGTGCTTCTATGTAAGGGTGTGTGGTATGGTGTGAGTTTCAGTAGAAATTATTGTAATTTTTAAATGTGTACTGAGCAACTCCTAGAGATGGGAACAGCCTAGAGATGGTGAACAAAGGTTTTTACTTACCTTTGTATCACCAGAACCAGGCACTTAGTAGGCATTCAATAAATGCCAGTGAGCTAAATTAATGGTAAATCAAATCATGCTCAGCACACTAAAATCATAGACTGCTCACAAGAAGAATGTGAAAATAAATGCATAGTTTTATTTGTCACAGTAAACTTTTAGGTTTCTTTTCAGTAATTTGTTTTCCCAGTTATTAGCATTTTTCTGGTTATCTCCTTTAGGAAATACTTATCTTCCAAATTCAGAAGCCATTAGTTCATTGCTTATACTCAAAATTAAAACTAATTATATATTTTTAACAAGGGGTCAGATTTTCCAAGGGCTTAAACACCTCCTGGACTACAAGTGAATGTACTTTCAGAAGCCACATTAATTGGGACCAAAGGAAGACCACCTGAATGAAATAAAGAAATCACTCATCCACTAGATGTCTATAATTAATATACCTTTCAAAAATAGCTACTCTTGTGACTAAGAATGAACTTGGTTATAATGAGAATCTGCTTAATTATGAATTTTATCCACAGTTTTTGTTAGTAACCCAACCATTCAGTAATTTCTTGGTGGCCTAATTAATTACTTTAACCAGTATTCAGTGTCTTCACCAGAACCTGTTTGTAGTATAAAAATCAAACCCAACAAAACAGTGTTTCTTTTCTTACTTTGTGAGGAAACCCATCTCTCTAGTCTGGCCACTGAAACTCTAGCCATGTCCAGCCTGAGGACATCTAGACAAATAAAGTGATTCAGTAACATTTCAGGAGTCCCAGACAGTCCTGACTGACTCTGAGATGACTTGTTTAGTCCTTTGGTCTAGTTTGGGTATAAATCTACACAGGGCTACTCTTTCCAAATAGGACCTCCCTCCCCATATCACAGTTCTTCTCTTACCTCTCATCTAACCCTAATTATATTCTGTAAGTAGCTCATTGTTAATGTGTATATTGATGTTTCTATCCTATCTTCTGTGTGCCAGGTGATAACAATCTATCTCTCTTCTGCCTTAGATTGTAATTTGCTAGGGAATAAGAATTGGGACTCTATATAAAATATGAATTATTGGGAAGTAGATGCATTGAAATCTCTCCTTGGAAATGCTCTGCCTGGTGTTACTGAATGGTCCTTGGTCCTTATAGATAAATTATTTTGCTTACTGGGAGTCTAAGTTTCCATATCTGTAAGAAATCTTGAAGATTAACTGGTCCAGTGATTTCTAAACAATAGGATTTCAAAATAAATATTAGTGTGGAAGAACCAACATATTTGCCAAATTTTTATTTTGTCTAGTAAGAACCTTAAATCTATCAACTACTTATTACTATTGTTTCCCAAAAGAAAAGGACATTAACAGCCAAAAAAGAGCTGAAATGAAATGTTAACATAAACAGCAAGTGTGTAAACTGAATAAATTTAGCTTCATGAAAAATCACTACAATTTTTTATCATTTCATCTCAGAGCAGTGGAAATATTCCAGTGACCATCATGGGTACTATGATTGGTGACTGGAACTAATGACATATCCTGTGTTTATGGCCAAATTCTACTTTGTAACATACAGTCAAGATACTTTTAAATGATGGTCATTGTGACTATAATAATTTCTTTCCAGTCTCCTATGCTTTTTCCTCATTTTTAGCTTGTCACAAACTCATTGACTCCCTTTCCTTCTATTAAACATTGAAAATCATTGGCATTTCAATGCCTGCTTTCCCCTTCTGAGAGAACTATTCCTAAATGTCTAATAGCTAGGAAAAAAAAGAAAAGAAAAATTCCTTCCACCAAAATGGGACGGGAAGCATGAAGCTACAGCAGCCAGTCCACTGCGTCATTGCTGCCTGGGTATTTGTCCATGATGACTACTATTTATTGAGATCTTATGGTCCAGGCATGGTGCTCAGGAAAATCTCACTGATCTTGAATAACTCTGAGAGGTAGATACAATTCATTATTACACCTAGTTTATATATAAGAAAATGGAGACTCAGACTTGTTAAGCAACAAATAAACAGCTAATAGATGTTCCCATCACTTCATGGCAAATAGATGGGGAAACAATGGAAACAGTGAGAGACTTTATTTTCTTGGGCTCCAAAATCACTGCAGATGGTGACTACAGCCATGAAATTAAAAGACACTTGCTCCTTGGAAGAAAAGCTATGACAAACCTAGACAGCATATTAAAAAGCAGAGACATTACTTAGTTGACAAAGGTCCGTCTAGTCGAAGCTATAGTTTTTCCAGTAGTCATGTATGGATGTGAGAGTTGGACCATAAAGAAAGCTGAGTGCCGAAGAATTGATGCTTTTGAACTGTGGTGTTGAAGAAGACTCTTTGAGAGTCCCTTTGAACTGTTGTGTTGGAAAAGACTCTTGAGAGTCCCTTTGACTGCAAGGAGATCAAACCTGTCAATCCTAAAGGAAAGCAGTCTTGAATATTCATTGTAAGGACTAATGCTGAAGCTGAAGCTCCAATACTTTGGCCACCTGCTGCAAAGAACTAATTCATTAGAAAAGACCCTGATGCTGGGAAAGATTGAAGGCAGGAGGAGAAGGGGACATCAAAGGATGAAATGGTTGGGTGGCACCACCGACTCAATGGACATGAGTTTGAGCAAACTCCGGGAGTTGGTGATGGACAGGGAAGCCTGGTGTGCTGCTGAGCGACTGAACTGAACACAGTTAATAAGTGTCAACAAGGATTGAAACCCAGGGCACACTGACTCCAAAGCGTATGTCTGTGTTAACCACCACTCTCTAAGGCTAAAGTACTGTATTCCCTCAAACAACTGGTCAACTTGTCCCAACTTTTCATGGGAAAACCCCTGGAACAGGAGTTGGAAGACCTGAGTTTAAGTCCTGTATTTACAGATTCTACATATTCTAGCTTTGTTACCTTGGGTACTTTTTAAAAACTGTTCTAAGTCATAACTATACAAGCACGCCAGGCTCCTCTGGCCACGGAATTCTCCAGGTAAGAATACTGGAGTGGATAGCCATTCCCTTCTCCAGGGGATCTTCCTGACCCAGAGATTGAACCCAGGTCTCCTGCATTGCAGGTGGATTCTTTATCATCTGAGCCACCAGCAAAGTCCAAATATAAATGCTTTTGCATTTGAAGGCAAAAGGAAAAGGGGGGTAGCAGAGGATGAGATGGTTAGATAGCATCACCAGCTCAATGGACATGAATTTGAGCAAACTCTGGGAGACAGGGAAGGATAGGGAAACCTGGAATAGTGCAGTCCATGGGGTCGCAAAGAGTCAAATACAACTTAATGACTAAACAATAACAACAAGTCACAGCTGCTGACTCTGTAAAATTAATATCTTTAAATAAGAAATAATAAAATGATGTATGAAGAAAGTTCTTTATAAATCCTAAAATATTATACAGTTGTGCTACTTGTTTCTTGTTATTTCTTATTCCTTCTCCCACACTTGCCACAAATATATTCCCTTAATTGACAACTGGAGCAAGAATTAAGCTATATATAAATAACTTAGTGATAAACTTGGGGCAGGGAGTCAACTCTATCTAATATGTCAATAAATGAAGTAATAAAATGAGTATGTTCCACATATTTTAACCCTGCTGGCTCTTTTGCCTATGATTAGCATCTGATAAACGAAGAAAAGTTAGTTTTACATGCCTTCTTCAGTTCTCCACTGGGAGAGGGGAAGACAGGAGTGGAAAATGGACAGTTCTGGGGAATAAGAAAGACTGTGCTCTCTGTCCTGCTTAGAGGAGCAAGGGATAGCAACACTTTCTCCATATGGAAACTTGAAGGGGAAAAGAATTTGTAACTGATTGTTCCACCTCATGATATAAGAAATTCTAACTGGATTATTTTTTTTCCATTGTTACCATCAACCAGTAAACTTATGTGGACAAGATCATAACCATAATAGATGTAGTTAACTCATTAATGAGTTCAGTTTGAAATCCTTTAACATTTTTGGAGATTTGAGGAACTGCTACAGGTTAGGAAAAAAAAAAGTAACAGAAAAATACATTAAAATTATTAATGTCCTAAGTCACACTCACTGAAGAAATGTCCTGTCTGCCTTTTATACATTCAGGTAAGTCCTGAAAAGCAACATATGACACTGGAAATTGTATGGGCTCTAGAGCTCAAATGACTTTAACTAAATTCCAGTTCACAGTTTACTGCCTGCTCATGTGAACCTTTGGTGAATAAGTCATTTATTCCTGCTGAGCCCCAATTTCCCCATCTATAAAATATGTGTAAATATACTTCCCTCCATGTGCACTGTGAGAATTAAATGAGGTATTAGTTCCTGGCACACAGTTACTATTCAACTATCAATGTCACTGATGGGATTTCATGTTGGAAATAAATGTAATTTGCATGGATAAAACAAGAAATTTATACACCTTCACCTGAAATCTAAGGTTTCAAAATAGTATAATAAAAGCTTCCCTAGAGGCTCAGACCATAAAGAATCTGCCTGCAATGCAGGAGACCAGGATTTGATCCCTGGTTCAGGAAGATCCCCTGGAGAAGGGAATGGCAACCCACTCCAGTATTCTTACCTGGAGAATCCCATGGACAGAGGAGTCTTGTGGGCTACAGTCCATGGAGTAGCAAAGAGTCAGACATGACCTGAAATCTAAGGTTTGAAAATAGTATAATAACTTATTTATATACTGTCCCATTTTATGCTCATAGCTTAGATAGGACAAGCTGTCTCCTCATAATTCAGGTAAGGAAATCAAGAGTCAAAAAATTCAAAATGCCATTTCTTGAAGGACCTGAGACTAAAACCAGCTCTGCTGAATGAAAACTAGACTACACTTTCAGTGTGTTTGTTATTGAAAATATCTGAGAACTTTTACATATAATGTCCCAGGACAAAAATTCAAATCGCCTTTCACATGTTTTATAACTTCATTATGTTGTTTATACATACCTTCAAATAACTATAAGTTGTTTATATTATATAGTTTCCACTATACCACTTTCTGAGTGAGATAGTTGTAAGAAATAATGCTAAAGATAATTTCTAAGAAAGTGAAATATGTATATCATATATATTTATTTCAATTACCTCCTATTTCAGCCTCAACAATGAGAAGTTGAGCCTGTAATAAAACAGCTGCCTGGAACACAAGTTGTGTCACATAAATGAATAGCTGTGATTATATTTTCTTTTGCTCCCTAGGCTAATGGCACACTTTGACCTTTTTAAATACCCTAATGTGCTTAGTTCATAATAATGGGAGTTATATAAATATTGACAATAGAAAGACTACCACAGATTCAGTTCACTCCTCAATAATAAAAATCAGCTGACACACTCTATCCATACATACTTACTCAACTGAGTATTTTGCCTCTGCCTAAACTAACATCTAGATCCCTAATTCTTTGGAGTAGTTTTGCCCCCACATAAGCAGATACAAGTTCTTCCTCGTTCAGTGCCAGTTGTGCTAAACCGTACCTGCCTTAACACTCTGAACAAATTTCCCAATTCTTCAACTCCTTTTGGTCACCTAGAGATATTAACATGATGTGACTTTTAGAAAGCATGTTTCATTTCCATCAGACATTTTAACTTACTTTTTTTGATCTTCTGAAGCCTAGCCATCATAATACTGTGTTTAAAAAATTAAAAAATTTTTTCCGGGACTTCCCTGGTGGTCCAGTAGCTAAGATTCCACGCTCCCAATGCAGGGGTTCCAGATTCCATCCCTCGTCAGCAAACTAGATCCCACATGCTGCAACTAAGAGTTTACACGCCACAACTGGAAAAAAAAAAAAAAAAGATCCCGCATGCCACAACGAAGACTCTGCATGCCAAATCAATAAACAAATAAAAAATAAATATTTTTAAAATGTCTTTCCCTTTCGGGAATATATAAAATCAATTTGAGAGTTTAGGGCAGTGATTCTTAACCTCAGCCACATATTAAAATCACCTGAGGAGAACTTCCCTGGTGGTGCAGTGGATAGGAATCTGCCTGCCAATGCAGGGGACACAGGTTTGATCCCTATTCTGGAAAGATTCCACATGACAGAGCAACTGAGCCTGTGTGCCACAACTACTGAGGCCGAGAGCCACAACTAATGAGCCCACCCGCCTAGAGTCCCCGAGGTCCAGAACAAGGGAGTCCCGCCCACCACAACTAGAGAAAGCCCACACAAAGCAACAAAGACTCAGCGCAACCAAAAATAAAATAAATTAATTTTTTAAAAATCACCTGAGGATCTTTTTAAAAATAACTGCCTGGACCCACCCCCAGATATTCTGGTAACTGATTTGGAATGAGGCCTCAGCG